AGATCATCATTAAAGGTTACTAAAGGCAATTGAAGAGCATTATTAGAATCAATGTTAGTGCATAACAATTTATACTGAGTCAATTCAACATTTAACATGATATTTTCATTTTTGACTCTTTCCAATGTTTCCTTTAGCATAGAGTTTCTATCTAGCAAATCAAAGAATCTTCCCTGAACATCTGTTCTTGAACTATTCAAATATTTCATATGATCCTTATAGATTTCTAGAGCTTTTTCATTTTGTCCAAGTTTAAGACATATTTCTTTATATTCATCCAAAGTTTCTATGAGCAAAGAAATTAATTTGTCTTTTGACAGGGATTTCAGAAATTTAGGTTCGAGATTTACCTCCTCTGACTTTTTAGCAGACTCACTGTGTTTAGCCATCAAACACAGGTTTGCCGTCTCTTCTTCCGTGGATTCTTCTTCATCCTCGGAACTTGTGTCTCCCCACGCAGCTATCATGGCTTTCCTGTAATCAGATTTTGAAAAGTTTGGAGTATTAGATTTTCCGTGTTCCTTCATTTTGCCTTTTCCTTTTTCTGATTCCCAGAGAGGGCATTCCTTGATGAAGTGATCTGTGTTCCCACATTTGTGGCATCCTCCAGTTTCCTTGGAATATTGGTTTTTCAAGAAGTTCCTTTTCTTTTGGTCACCAAACCTTTTGTTGCGGTACATCTTTTTTAGCTTCCTGACTAGCATGGCAGCTTCTTCCTCTCCAGATTCGGAATCCTCTTCACTTGGTTGGACAACCTTTAGAGCAATTCCTCGGCTCTTTGAACTTTCTTGGCTTTTGTTTGATAGGTGAAGCTCATGAGTTATTAAGGAACCTGCAAGTTGTTCAAGGTTGAAAGTTGTAAAGTCCTTTGATTCCTGCAAAGCTGCCACTTTGGATCTCCACCGTTCATCTTCAGGAAGACTCCTTAGAATTTTGCGTACCTTTTCATCCATAGGAATAACTCTACCAAGAGAAACTAATTCATTAGTAATATTTTTAAAACGAGTAAACATTTCTTGAATAGTTTCTTTTGAACCCATTTCAAAACGTTCATATTTAGAAATCAGTATATCAATTTTAGAACGTTTAACTTCATGAGTTCCTTCGTGGGTTATTTCTAGTAAATCCCATATTTCTTTTGCTGTTTTACATCCCATAACACGAGTGTGTTCATCTGGCCCTAAACCCCAAACTAGGAGTTTTTTAGCAGTAGCATTAATCTCTTTCTTCTCAAAGTCGCTTCTATCGTATTCAGAAATAGGTTTAGGAATTACCTCGTTTTATGCATTGGTCTTTGTTACCTCGTAATCTCCTACCTCGATAACTCGCCAGACTTGATAATTCTCGGACTGTATGAACATCTCCATCCTCGTCTTCCAATAGGCGTAGTACTTCCCATTGAAGAGTGGAGGTCTTTGTGTAGAATAACCTTCAGCTAGTCTCTCGTCCTTAGACATTGTTCCTCCAGGAACTTGTCTCGACAGGGCTTCTTGCTTTTCCGAGTTCCTTGCTCTGATACCAATTGATAGAACAATGTATACTACAAGAGGGGGGGGGGTGAATTGTAGTGTATGTAGACTATGGTAAATTTTGCGGAATTAAATCTACTACTAAGAGAAAAGACATTGAGATAGGCAATGAATAAATTCACTATGTAAAAATGATTTACAATCACTAATACGTTGCCTAGACTCAAGTTCCGTGAGGAACTCAAGTTACCCAACTGTGATCCCTCAATCACAGTTTCTCACACTTTGTGATTCTACTCCGAATCACTTGTACAGTGTAAACAACTCTCTCAAGTCTCACACTTTACAACTCTCACAACCCAAACCCAATTACACAATGATTACAAGTATTTCCTAAAGAACTTAAGAGACTAAGGATGGAAGGAACTTCTCTTTTAAACACTTTGAAACTCTATGCTCAGAATACTTAAGATTGTTTTTTCACGCTTTCAAAACTTAACGTTGATCTGTTTTTATAAGGAGTTAAACCAAGCTTCCATCAAGTTCCCACTTCCCCCTTAATCCCACGTTCTCTTTGACTGAGAAGTTGGGATGTAGGCAGAGGAAATTTAGGAACATGATTTCCTTAGCTTGACTCCCAAGTTCAACGTTCTCCTTAATACTAGGAGCCAGTATTTACCAAGTCAAAAAAATCAGTTATTCAAAAAGATAATTATTTAATAAAAAAGATAATTATTTATTTATTAATTAAAAGATAAATATTTAATTAATTTAAAACTTATCTTTTTAAATTAATGAATTATTTATTTATTTATAAAATCTTTTTAAATCTTTTTCAAAACTGATTTTTATCACTTCCTTAAATTAAGGGATATGAAAACTGTTTTAAAACTTTCGTTTAAAACTTTCTGAGTCAATCGTCAAGTTCCTTCGGGAACTTCGAGTTTCTTCTTAATTCCTTCCATTCCTTCCAACACTTTTGTTTCTTAAGCTCGTACACTGAGTAACTAAGTATATAGAGTTGTGAGGACATCTTGAAAGCTTGCATTCATCATCAAGTCTTCCAAACTCTGTTGTTCCTACTCCGGAACATGTATTTGTGTACCTGAATCTTTTTGTTCAACCAAGACTCATAAACATCATTAGTCAGAGTTTGTTTTACGTAAGTCAATCATCAAAATATTAAGGTAGTCAATTCAACAGATGGGGAACGAGGGTGTTGACATGGCGTTTGGTGGTGGTTGTGTATGGATATAAATGAGTGGCAAATGGATGGTAGATGGGGTGACTAAAACCAGTGAATGTATGGTTCTACTTATAATGCAATGCAAATTGTGTCAATATTGATTTCTTGTACGTCTGTAGAACACCAAGTAACAAACGATAATTAATTAATGATGGTCCGTATCTTACTTTGCTAACGTCTTGAATTTTGGCAACCCGGTGTTTAAATTCTCCATCCTTTAAAGATTACACCGCTTGATTATTCATAATTTTCAACTCATCTTAATGCATAAACTAGGCTCCTGGTCCGTGTAATACACGAGTTGTTTATAGAGGGATTTTAATTCAAAGTGAGACTTCAAAAAAAAGATCGAAGATGGAGAGACTAGAATTAAAGAGAGAAAATGAAAAGGTTGAATTGAAGATGGGTGATGAAGATGAAGTGTACCTGGGAAATGAAATATAAGTTTAATGAAAGAGTTAAAAGGATAGTGTAATAAAAAAAATTCAAAATGTAAGAAAGACATGTGAGACATTAGATTGGAAAAGAAGACAGAGAAGTGTAATAGGATGGGGACATGTGTCTTTTCCAGTTTGAATTTTTAACTAAACATTATTAAAATTTGATATTATAAGTATATATAGAAGCGAATTTAGCAATATTTCACATGACTATTTTTTTCCTTATGAATTAGTGGTTAATGGTGATCAAACTTCCTAAAATTTGACTTAAAAAATTTCACTGGGACATACAATTTTAGAAGGATGGAGAGAGTATTGTACAATGAGTTGTTATAAAGTTTTTTTTAATAAGTAATAAAGGGTCAGGATCCGCACCATATTAAATGTAATTAATTAGTATTTATAGTCATCAATTAACTACCCCAATTCTTAATCAATTCTCTCATGTATTAGCACGTGACTACATGAGCAATCTATATTATTATTAGAACTTCAAGATAAGGAGTGTTATATCGCCATGTGTCATTTTTTCTTTTGTGTTATTGCGCCACATCATTCCAAGCTTGCCACATAATCGAAGTCTTCTTGGAAAACTCTTCATTGGTTTAACCTCCATGTATTAATGTTTAATTTAATTGAAAAACTCTCCATATGTATAACCACTACTTTATTTAAATTCCCTTCTTGGTAATTGCACGATAATGTAATTTGATTGAAAAGCTTTTCATATGTGTAACCACCCTATTTAAATTCCCCTTGAAATCCTTAGTAATTGTACAATAATATAATTTGTAAAAAATTAATCATTACTCCATTTTTTGTGCATTAATTCATAAAATTATAGTTACAGAGTACGAGCAATAATTAATAGTATATATATATATTGACATCAAAATGATAAAGATTTGATTTATCATTTGTTCTATATTAACAAAAGAAAAATAAATTTATAGTCAAACCAACTAGCTCACAAAAACAACTAACTGCGTACTTAAGATCTCATCTTAAAAAAAAAATACACACTATTTAAGCTCTCGGTGTCGAACAAGGCCAAAGTATAGTTTGATAAAGTAATAAATTTATAATGAACCGGGAATCGCCCGAGCCAATAACTAGTTTATATTCTATATATGGTTGAGCGTTATTATTCTATCTTAAAACTCATAAAGTCATGTGCCATGTGTATTGTATATAATCTATACTAGACGTTTCTAAAAACGTTTATGTGGCAAGTTAACCCTTTCCATTACGCCATGTCACTTACTCAACCTCTCATTATTTCACATCACCACTCAATTATTTTTTGTCATTAGGTTAGGCATTTATTTTCATTATTTAATTCTGTTACAATTTTCACTAATAGACAATTAAAAATATTAATAGTCAAAGTTACATCTCGGCAAATGTACCGATCAAACTGGTGCATTAAAATAAAAAAGAACTTATTTTCCGTTTCCATAAAAGATATATAAGAAAGAAATAGCAAAAACAAAAAGTAGGAAGATAAAAAGATATAGGAGGGAGTACATTGTTACTCCCTCTGTAACTAAAAGAATGACCCTTTTGGCCCAATTTTAGTCCCAAAATGTTTATCCCATTTTTGTATTAAATACCCTCCTATTTGCAATAATATTTGTGCAAAATTAGCTTCCCTATGTAAATTTTTCTTTTTTCTATGTACTTCTATTACTTTCTCTCTATACTTTTTTGCAAACCCCATATAAATTTATTTTTTCAATGTACTTTTATTATTTAGCTTCTCCATACATTTACACTTCCAACTTAAGTTTCTTAATACCCATGAAAACTCTCCAAAAATGGTCGTTCTTTTAGGTACGGAGGGAGTAATTTTCTCTTTACCAAATACGTGAAGAGATTATTGATCAATGATTGGCAAATACATGCAATTTTTTGTTTTTTGCTTTTGGTTAGGGATGTAGGTATAATGGAACTTCTTACACACAAGACAGAACACAAATTCTTAAAAATAGAAGTGAATGATATTCATTGAGTTTCAAGTATTTGAATTTGATGCAACATTTTGGCTCAACTCTTTCACCAACTCATTAAGATCAGTTAATGAACTCCCACCAACATTCCTTGCTTCTAAAGCCTTTTGCCTCATCACCTTAACATTCTCCTTCTGTGGTACATTCTCACTGATCGACATCGACTTATCGATGATCCGAGCCAATTCATTCGAGTCGGGTACCGTGTGTTCACCTTCACATAGACGAAACGCCAACCCTGCATACTCTACAACCAACTTGGCATTTTGGAACTGATCAGCTTCCATTGGCCAAGCTAAAACCATCACCCCGGCTAGTACACTCTCTAGTATCGAGTTCCATCCACAATGACTCACAAACCCGCCTATTGCTTCATGGTTTAAAATCTCAACTTGTGGGGCCCACCCCTTTATCACTAAACCCTGGTCAGAGACTCGCTCCTCGAACCCTTGTGGGACCCATTGGCTACCCTCTACCTTGACCACCCACACAAACCGTGTCTTGCTTCGTTCTAGCCCTAGTGCAAGAGCCTCGATTTGCGGTTGTGTTAGTAGTTTCTGACTCCCGAAACAAACATACAAAACACTCTCATCCGGGCATTTATCAAGCCACTTGAGTACACCATAACCAACATCCGAATCCGGGTTAACCCTCTTGTTAACACCTAGTGATGAGGTTAATGGACCTACACTAAATACTCTATCATGACCCAAATCGATTTTTAATTGATCTATATATTCCCCTTCTAAGTCATAGAAAGAATTGACAACATAACACCAACTCTTAGGATTTGTAAGAATACATTCTTTAATGATTTGCCAATCAGAATCATCCTCCTTATATTTTTCAAATAAAGAAGGGTATTGATCCTTATGAAAGGAAGGGCATCTAGGAATATCTTGCATTTGTACAGCGTCTAAATTACGAAACTCGTTCATGTTTGTCATTAGACGTTGAAAAAAACAAGTTGAAAATGCCCCTGAGGTGCAAAATGTAATTGTTGGTATGTTGAGCGTTTTAGCCCAAAGTTGGGTGTATCCAAAGAAAAAGTCGTAGATAATTGCTCGAGGAGGAGAAGGGTGGGATTGAAACCATTGTATAACTTCTCCTTCTAGTTTGCTAAGGGATGCAATGATGGGAGGTATTCCGAAATTTCCTATATCTTTAACATTTTCGATACCTAAAGGGAGTTTGGGGTGAAGAGGGAAGGGTAAGACTAATGTATGAATAGAGTTTGGGTGAGTTGAGTGGAGTTGGTTTATGATAGGTAGGTTTTTAGGGGTGACTATAATGGTGATATTTAGCCCTTTGAGTGCTAGTTGGTGAATGAAGTCTAGGAAAGGAAGCATGTGGCCTTGTGCTGGGAATGGAAAGGCTAGTACGTGAGTGGTGTTCGAGTTGGGGGTGGTGGTGGTGACGGCGGAGAAAGAGGGAGATGACATGGCTTTTGGTGGTGGTTGTGAATGAGTAGCTAATGTATGGTAGATGGGGTGACTAAAACCACTAAATGTAAGGTTTTTACTTATAATGCAAATGACTTAAATTGTCACGCCATTCCTTTTTGCTTAAATAAATATTGATTTTTTGCACGTTTGTAGAACACCAAGCGACATATGATATTTGATGGTCTCAATATCTACATATATAAATTTTCTAAATATTGGTGTCATGGTTGTTGGTTGTTAAATTCACTGTTTTTAAAATATTACATAATTTGACTTTTCTGTTGAACAATTTTCTTCACTTTCTATCTTTATGGAACTTCGTTTGGACTAACATTTGATGGTATGCGTATCGTTGATTGCTTGGTACCTAGGTTGCCTTCACTTTGCTATATTTGAGCTTACTACCCCCTTCGTAGCGTAGTGAGAGTGTAGCATACTGTTCTTTTGTTCTTTTGATAATGTCAAAAGGGAAAGAACAAACTTCATGGAGGCTAACGTGTTGCCGGGGCTAAACAAATCTCATGAGGTATTTTATTTTTCAAGTGTTTTTGCTAAGTTCCAAGTTAATAAGTTCTTTAAATTATTCTTTTCAGTCTTAGTCAGATAATAAATTTAAGTTCTTCGTTAGAGCCAGAAAAAAAAAAAAAAATGGGTGTATCTCTATTCTCTGGCTCACACTCTCACATCTTTTTCTATTCTTATTCACGTTACATACCTCTTAAAGAATACTCTATTTAGGATGGTCAACTCTAACCTACAAGGATACTCTACGTATACTCCATATAAATACTCCGTACTCCATTACTCCCTCTATCTCTTTATTTTTAATTTATACGAGTATTATACTATTATATTATTTTTTGGGTTAAGGTTTTAAAACTTTGACTATAATTTTTCATTAATTTGTTAGATTTTTTTCCTTTTTTTTTTAAAAAACTAGTTAGATTTTTTTCATTGTACAATATTTCTTTTTTTAATATTACATTTTTATAATTTTACGTGTATAAAAATATAAATATGTTATGTTAATCCTGTAAAAACTCAAATGAGACGAAAAAATAAGAACATAAAGAATATTTACTAATTCAATTAGGATTTGGACCTTATTTATGTATTGATATTAGCCCCTTCATAACTTTGGTAAAAAAAAATTAACTTTACATCTTCTAAAACCGACAACGACAAGTATACTAGTAATTAGTAAATCAAGTGGTACTACACTACTACTCCTACTATCCTACTCGTATAACCTTCCGGACACTTTTATTAAAAAATTAGTGAAATAAACCTTTGGATATTTTGCTTAAGTTGAAATTTTATTGTTGTACATTGCAACCAATCAGTCATTTGTCAATATTAATTAAATCACATTTGTCAAAATAAGATTTGTACACGCGGAATGAAATGGGAGGAACACGATTTATTGATTATATGAGTACTTAGTACATTGCTCTTATGACCTTGAAAATATTAAAAATTTATATTACTTCGTATATGAAAACCAATAGCAATACAAGTTGTTTTTAATACGCGTAATAATTATTTTGAAATCGATAGGTAATACTTATCTAAAAACATTTAACATTTGATTATTTTTTTTTTTTTTTTTTATTACTGAGTTGGTTAAAAAAAAAAACTAGTCAAACTAGAATGAATAGTTAAAAAAATAAAAATAAAAAAAGTTAAAGCTACTCTATAAAATTATTAATGGAAGGAACGACTAGAGTAGTGCAAGTGTGCAACACATTGGATAACATGAAACTTAAGGAGGTTAATTAAGGAAATACACTCAAACTCCTTAATAGTATTCCCTTGTTAATTTTTTTTTAAATGCACTCTCTCTGTTTCAAAATACATGTTTTATTCTAATCGGTTTATTGTTAATGCAAAACTTTAACATATGAAGTATGTATTACAACTTCTGAGTATGAAGTTATTTGAAGCTAACATCTCATAAGACTATATTTTTTCTTAATTATAAATAATAATGTTAGTCATACGGAGATAAAATTATTTTTAAGACCATTTTAAGAATTGTGAAAAGTTAAATGTGGAAAAATATTAAGGACGAAGGAAGTGATACATTAATTAATTAATTAAGGTTTATACTTTTTTTTGTTAAATAAATTAAGATTTGTACTGATCTACGGAGTATGTACTATGTACGGATATTAGCCTTTTCATAACTTTGGTAAAACTAATTGAGCATCATCCATATAAGAGAATGCAATAATTCAGTTATATCATACTAGTCTTATTAACTAATTTCATGCATAATTTAAGCCTCATTGATGTTCAAAAGCATGAATTCAACTTCACATATAAACTGAATTGCGCAATAAGTAAGCTCGTTCATTGTCTGTAAGAAAGACAAAATAAGCCAATCGAAATTAGTTAAGTTCTAATACTACTGACCACAACTAACTCCTAAGGTTTGACAATTACATATTACTCCCAAACACACATCAAGTCCATTACAAAAAGGATTAGAATAGATGAAAATTGACAAATTCTTTCCTAATCTAGTTTGCTAAACCGCCTTTGTTGTTCTCCCTTGGTCCCTTTCATTTATCTCCTTCCTTGAGCATCCCTAATGATTGAACATTACTTTTAGCATCAAACTGAATCTGATTTTGCAATTTTGCAAAAGCAATCATATGTATAGGAAAAACATATTGATACATATGTTGCACTTCTTCAAGTGGAAAGTGTACCTATATTATAGAGGAAAAAAATATATTCTATCGTTACAAATCTATAATTAAATAGACTTAATATTGATAACAATAATTAAATGAAAAGTAAAAATTCACTTACATTTGTGAGTTGGAAGGTGTGTCGATACATATCTCGTAAACGAGTCAATCCTTGCTCTAATATCAAGTGTTCTAATCTCAACTGAGGAGGTGCTCCAATTATACGAGGAGTTGCTCCCATTAAATTTGAACGCCGCCAACTAGGATATGTAGTCTGATGTCTGTTTGAAAATTTGTCACATTTTTTCAAAAAGTCAGAGTCAGCCATCATTTGCGCATGTATTAGGATTGCATTTTTTGAATTACTAATAATGTCACGAAAATTTCTAGTTGTCGGCCTTGACATCTTGTAATTTTCAGCATCCGCAAACGCATCTTCAGCATCAGGATAGGTTAAACATCGACCACTCTCCAAAGCATCATACAACTCAATGATATACTCGATTCTCATTCTATCATTCCAAAAAATCACATTTCTGAAAACCATATTAGCGTCTCTGTGAATAAACAAAAAGACAAATTAAATCAACTAGACTTAGAATCAAAATCAAGTGTATATAAATGTCATTTAACAGTGAACTTTTCATTTCATTTTTAAATGAATAGACAATAATGAACTTTCGCTATAAACCGATCATGGCATAATGGTCATTATCTAATAATAAAATTTTACAAAAATTAAGTGTATACTTTAATTAGCATACGTAGCATATATTATATTATCATTTAACATACAACATGAATAATTAATAAACACAAGCTAGATCACCAAGGAAATATAAATATAAATAAATAAAATATGAATAACTCGTTTTACTCACCCAAGTAGATCACTATGATTAGTTGTAATCAACCAATCACCAAAGGCTTTCAGTTCAGAATATATGGTAGCTGAACCCCTTGCCTTAAATAACCCTATGCTTTTGAAAAATTTGGACAACTCACTTGCTTCAAACATCCAATCATGATGTGCCTCTAATAAAAACAAATTAAAAATGAATGAAAAAATAAATCAATCTTATATTATATTATTGAATCTACAAGAAAGAAAGATGTACTAATATGTACCTCTTTTTTCATAATTAGTGAAAACAACTTTGTTGTCTGCATCAATGTACATGTGCTTTGAATCTAGTATTGGCCTAAAAGCTTTGTCCTTGAATGTTACAACATTCTTGACAATACTTAACATAAGTTTTTTAAAACTCACACTAGAATACAAACGCGCATTGAAGGATTTGTTCAAGTGTGTGAGAACCTTCAATTTTGGAAAAAACCAATTCGCATCAAATTCTGAGATTGGTTTGCCATCAACTACCTTAACCATTACTATATCCGGGTTGTTAGAACCCTCAAAAGTAAATGGAAAAAGAATAGTAGGAAACCACTCATTGTTCTCCATTTCTCTCAAACAATGATGGAGAGACTCCATTGATTCCCATTCACTTAATCTTATTTGCTTGTATTGCAGTACATTATCACCACAACTAATGGAAATTCAATCTTCGGCGACTTGTGCTCTGTAATCATCGGGAAAATCCATAACCTAAATAGTGCATACAACTTTATTACTATTTCCAATCAATACATTTCAAATTAAGAAAAAAACAGTGATAAATTTATAAAACTAATGAAAGATGATAAAGGAGAATTGATGTGAACGTACAAATTCAAACTAAACACAAGCTGGTAATACAGAATTAATACATAAGACAAAAGATAAAATCGCAAAATTTCAATAGATATATCATATCCATGATTTCGAGAACACAAATGAAAAGAAAAGTATTACTAATGCTGAAAAAATCCGACAAACCAATTTAGCATCAACTGCTGAAACCATGAAAAATTCTCGAGTTAGACAATAAAGTTTGAATACATAAGGGAAAATTTATATTAAATATTTTTGAAGTGATATCTTACTATGGAGTAGAAATTATAATGAAGTTATATAAAAAAAGATAATGTATTTGTGAAAATAATATAATGGCTACTCCAAATATCTTAATTTTTCCAATCTTATGCCTATCATGTGAGACATATCTCCTTGTTCATTAGTTACAAATTCAATGTCTAAATATTGGTGCCTAAATATTGTTCATTAGTCTTATGGGTTATGGAACTAGAAAGACATGGAAAACTCAAAGGTGATACATATGAAGAAAAATAAACTCTTTCAAAATCGTTAGAGTAATTTGATAAACATATAAAGCAACAAGAACAATTAGATGCTTTTTCTAGTAATTATTTTGGTTGTGTAAAAATTTCATACACCTATTCTTTCTATCTAGTCATCACTATCAAACTTACCTTAAAACATATCACTTTACCATGAAAATACTTATATAACTAATAAAACCCTATAAACAATATGTGTCAATTGACTTCATTTACTCGCGACAATCTAACCACTTTACATTTCTTACACGGCATCAATTTTTCCTTAGCTTCAAGGGAAGCTCCTTAGCAAACTCAACAAATTTCATACATATGAAATATCGGGTAGTGCAATCCAACTTGTATAAGCTTAATAGTTATCTGGAAAATCCATGAATAAAATACATGCAAAGAAAAATACATGATAAAGAAGAATTGATGAACAAGTTAAACTTAGCACAAACTGGTTACACAATTATTAAAGAATAATTACAAAAGTTCAGAAGATATATCTTATATATGCTTCTAAGAACAGATGTGAAAGTCGAATGATGTGAAAGACGAATTTCTTACAGAGAAAGAGAAAGTGAAGAATAACCGATGATTAAGTAAAAGACTCCAACAACGATCAATAGTTCTCTGAAATAAGAGAAAGACTATAATTAAACAATCTCAAGCAAAAAAAATCAACTAACCATTTTACATTTCATACATTGGCAATGATGGCATCGATCGTCACTTAGCTTCAAGGGAGGTTCCTTAGATGTTTTTGTAATTATTTTGGTTGTGTAAAAACTCCATACACCTAATCTTTCTAAGTTAATAGTACCATGCATTGTCTTTTTTCCATCTCCTTTGAATTCCTCAAAGTAAAAATTCCTTGACTATTAAACCAACCATGAGTATCAAACATACACTCAAGCATATCCTATAACATGAAAATATATGATCTTATACGACTAATAAAACCCTTTAAACAATATGTGTCTTTTGACTTCATTTACTCTTTACCAACTAACCATTTTACATTTCATACATGGCATTGATCGTCACTTACATTCTGGGAGGTTCCTTAGAATACTCAATAAATTTCATGCATATGAAATATTAGGTAGTGCAATTCAACTTGTATATGAGGGTTAATTACCAGGTAAATACATGCAAAGGAAATACCATGATCACGAAGAATTGATGAACAAATTTCAACTAAACACAAGTTCGTATTATAGAACCCAGAAAAAAATATGAAACCGCAAAAGTTGAGAAGACATATGTTATATATGTTTTTATTATGAACAAATGTGAAAGAGGAATTTCTTACCTAAAGTGAAGAAGTATTTGATGAATTAAGTAAGAGATTCGAGGAGCAATCGGGCAGAAGAGGGTTCTGAAACAAGAGAGTCTATAATTAGACAATCTGAGACAAAAAAGTTTGAATAAAGAGGAAGGGGAAATGACTAATTTAATTCCTTGAACACCAAGTTACATAATATAAAGTACAACCTCAACGTGCTGGGCTTTATATATGTATCGTGCGGAACCATAAGTTAGAATCATCAAAAAAGCTAGGTGTAAATTGTCACAAAGCTAGTATATAACAAGCTCTTACAAAATGTATATTATATATGATGACTAGAATAAGAAGCTCTTGTAAAATGTATAACATATAAGACTATTAGTTACAAACTAAGTGCTTAAACAGTGCCTCCATTTTCTGAGTATAGAACAAGAATGACATTGAAAACTCAATAGTATTCCATAGAAGAAAAATAAAGTACATGCTTTCAGGATAAATAAAGTAATTAGATAAACATTTGAAGCAACAAGAATAATTAGATGCTTTTGTAAATGTTTTGGTTGTGTAAAAACTCCAAACACACATTCTTTCTAAGTTAATAGTACAATGCACTCTCTTTTTTCCATCTCCTTTGAATTCCTCACAATATACAAAAAATCTTTGACTGATATACGAGTCACCATTATCAAACATACACTCAACCCCCCTAACATGAAAATACCAGATCTTCAATGACTAATAACAATCTTTAAACAATACGTGTCTTTTGACTTCATTTACTTGCGACCAACCAACCACTTTACATTTCTTACATGGCATCAATCTTCCCTTAGATTCAATGTAGGTTCTTTTGAAAACTCAACAAATTTCATACATATGACATATCGGGGTAGTACAATTCAACTTGTATATGCTTGATAATCATTATGAAAATCCATTACCATAATACATGCAAAGGTATTAATAGAATGATAAACAAGAATTGATGAACAAATTTAAACTAAACACAAGTTGGTATTACCGAATTAAGAAAGAATATGAAATTTCTGAAGTTGAGAAGATATATCCTATATATGCTTTTATGAACAAGTGTGAAAGAAAAATTTTCTTACATAAAGTGAAGAAGTAATTGATGAATTCAATAAGAAATTCACAAACAATCAGGCACACAAGTTCAACACTAACAGTTCTGTGAAACAAGAAGTAGCCTATTATTTGACACAGATAAAAAAGTTTGAATAGTTTGAATAGAGAGGAAGATGGAAAGACTAATTCATTCCTTGAGCACCAAGGCTCCGTTTGTTTTTGATGGAAAACCTTTTTTGTGGAAAATATGTTTTCAAGGAAAACCATTTTCAATGGAATACGTTTTTGTAGAAAACATTTTCCATTCTTTGTTTGATTATGGAAAAATTTAAGGAGAAAAAAGAAATGGGAGTTAATAGAAGAGGAACGATGGAAAGATAAAGCAAGGGGAGTAAAAGAATAGATCAGACTTGAAAATTTGGCATTTGCTTTTCAAAGGAAAATTGTTTTCCTTTTCCGGAGGGCAATTTTTCACCTTTGGAAAATGGCTCTCCTTCCTTTGCCAAAACAAACAAAGGAAAATGGAAAGGTTATGGAAAATTATTATATAGGAAAACGTTTTCCTCCCAAACAAACGGAGCACAAGTTATATAACAAAAAGTACAACCTCTTGTTTATGTGCAGGGCTATATATATATGTGTGTATCGTGAGGAATGGTAAGTTAGAATCATGTAGAAAGCTAACATGTACATTCTTTAAAAGCATATATAATTATATAAAGCTCTTACAAGATGTATATTATACATGATGACTAGAATAACAAGCTCTCACTAGATGTATGACAAATAAGACTCTTTGTGCATTAGTTACAAACTAAGTGCCTAGACTATACTGTTGGTTCATCCATTTTCTGAGTATAGAACTAGTAAGACATGGAAAACTCAAAGTAGTCCATATAAGGAAAAATAAAGTACATGTTCTCAGGATAGTTATAGTAATTTGATAAACATTAGAAGCAACAAAAACAATTAGATGCTTTTTCATAAACTTTGTAATTATTTTGGTTGTGTAAAAACTCCATTCACCTTTTTTATTCATTTCATAATCCTTCCATCTTATTGATTTTGCAACATAGAAAAAAAAAATCTCATACAATTTGCATGGGACGAAGGTAGTAAGGGCTTGTTCTCTTCAACTTAATTTCAGTCCAGTTCAACTCCAATCAGTTCAATTCCTAATGTCCGCCTCTCATAAAATATTCAGTTCAGTTCAGGTCAGCTCCAATCAATTCAGTTCAATTCAACTCCAATTAGTTCTGTTTAGGGTAAAAATACCCTTGACGTGTGGACTAAACATAGTCTGAGGAGAGCCAAAAGTGAACCTACCAGGACTCGACACGACACGTGGCAGGCAGATATTCAAATGGGCTTGGTGGCCTTCAAGGCCCAATACCCGAGGCAGCCTGTTAGTCATAGGTCTCCGTAACCTAGGATGGGCATGAATCCAGAGACCCTATGAAAGGGAGATGTTTTACCTTGGAAACACACATTGAATAACATACACACATTCAACTCAAAAACAGAGAGTTAAACACTCGGATATTGAGGCTGTCTGAGACAGCCGGATGATCACTCCTCTCCTAAGAGGAACCTGATCCCATTTACATTCTGCACTTTTTACATCCGTACACGTTCTAACTTGATCGTCAGAGGCGGAGCTCCCACCCCCCCGAGCCTCCGTTGTTTTGCAGGTACAGTCGTCCGTAGTCCATGGTGTTGTAACTTTCCCGCAGGACATTGAAAAAACCCCAAAACATTTGGCGCCGTCTGCGGGGAGAATACTACTAAGATGGCTTCACAGCAGTCTGTACCGCCTGCTCATAAGAAACGGCCTACGGTCGAAGTCGAGGACCAAGTGCCTCCTCCCCATCCTAAATGTCTGAGTCGACTTCAACGTCGACCTACCCAGACAGCTTTTAGAATACTTCAATGAGATATTCGCAATCAAGCAGAGAGAGTCAGTCAGGCGGCTTGTCCGTCCACACTTGCCCTCGGATAATCCATTCGGCTCCGTATGCGCCTCAACAGTCATACATGCCGTATGGACAACCATACATGCCGTATAGACAACCATACATGTAGCTGGCCCTCTTTGGGGGTCAAGCGGCAAAAAACGTCCAACATTAGGACTAGCAGCTCTGTCTGCTGAAACTTGGGGAACAACCTTCTGCGATCTCCAAGGAAATAACCTTCTGGTGCGAAAGCGTTAGACGACCAAGTACTACAGGCGTCATGAGGCCAACTGTCAAGCACAACAGGCGTCATGAGGCCAAATGTCAAGTACTACAGGCATCATGAGGACGAATGTCAAGAGTCAGACAGTCAAGAAAATTATCTGACTAGGGCAGCTTGGTACCCATTGTCGTTCAAACAGCTCTCTTGTAAGCATTAGACACAAACGGCTCTAAAAAGCCAAGAAGTCGAGATGTGAGCAAGACGTCAGACCATATTGCCGAGTGTGATGCCGAGAGCTTGCTTACCATGTGAACAAGGTGGGACAACTACCTGGTCAAAAGCTTGTCTAAGTATGATTTTCAAGAGCAACCAGCATACCCCCAACCACAAAATTGATGAGTCGACCAAATTAGCCAACCACACTAATCTCTTACTGAGCCGACCACGCATGACTACTTTCGTGAGATGCTTTTATATACCAACAATGAGCTTTCAACCCCACATATACAAGCGGCAACTATGTGCCGAGGTCGATATGAGGAGTTTAATGCCTTTCGCTGCTGCTTGATTATGTACTAGGCGGCAAAGTTCACTGAGAACTTCCATGGCAGAATACACACTCAAACGGCGTAAAAGCCGAGAAAAATGGGCAAGCTTTTTCTCGCAAGTATTGCTGGTTGGAGCAAGTAGGCGAGCTCTTTCCATAACTTAGCCAGGGGTCAGGCGGCAACCGTATGTAATAAGTCAGGCGGTAGCCGTATGTAACTGAATTGCACGGTTGAACAACATGAACGCCTAGCATATTGCTTAGTATATATTATACAAAGGTCAAATGGTATTAAAGCCCGACTATGTACAAGCGGCTCTCATGCGTGAGCAGGGGCTGCCTGGTATCCTTGGGCGTCCAAGTGCTCTATTGTAAGCATAGGGCGCAAGCGGACTTGATTTGAAAGCATGCAGCCGGTCAAATACCTTGGCTGAATCAATGGACTCATCCGGCACTATCCTTGTCGAGAGGGGCTCCAACAATTTAGGCTCGGTATTCAGTGGCTGAGTCACTACAAAAACTAAGCAAGATGTGCCTCTTGCATGAATGAAGGTGCGCTTGTGCGTGTGTTAGCATAGGCGGCAAAATTAAACCAAACGGTAATCAAGCCAAGCAATGAAGCAAGGGTCAGCCAGCACTTAGTGGCCGGATGACCATGAGGATTGCGTATGCAGCCGGCATGAGAAAAGCACAAGGCTATAGCGAGGTTGTGATACATCCGGCTACAACATTGAAGCCGGCTGTGAGTGCTTGAGTTATGTGATGCATCCAGCTAACTTACCACCGAGCATCCGGCCGACTTATAACCAGGCATCCGGCCAGGTTGCTAAGCCGGTTGTATGTATGCGAGCTGAGCCATGAGCTGTCTGGATGGGTGGCGCGTGTGCTACAACATTGAAGCCGGCTGAGGGTGCATGTGTTAACGCCATGATCAGCTATAACCAGGCATCCGGCACGAATAGTTCGGCTGTGTGTATACGAGTTAAGCCATGAATAGTCCGAGTGGCCAACACTATCAAGCAAAGTCTCGTGACTATAAAAACAGCCGGCATTATCACGAGTATGTGACTTTGAAGCTTTTGTGTGGGGCAAGCTATACAAACGGGGTGACATACAAACGGCAACCGGGTTGAGTATCAAGGCAAAATGCCATGAATAGACCTTTAATATTTGCCGAGTGGTGTCACGATGATACAACACGTGTGCGGCTTGAGTGAATCGGGAAATACAAGTTCCTTAACTCTGCAAATGCAGCCGGCACTATCCCTGCCGAGAGCATGCTAACAAGCCAATCCCCGAGCATCCGACCAACTAATAATCAGGCAGCCGACCAGGTTGCAAAGCCGGCTGTATGTATACGAAAGAAGCCATCCGGATGGCTAAGCATTTGAGAACAACCGGCCTTACCATGCATAAGTGAGGCGGCCTGGTGTGAACACAAGCGTGGAATGATTGTTGAATGCCGGATGATTGTTCAATGCAAGCGGCATCCGAGTTGGCCGAGTGTATAATTTTGAATGCAAGCTCATGAAATGGCATGGGTAATGACCGAGTGTGTGGCTGGACGCCTTGCCGTATGGGTAGAGCTTGAAGTTTGCCGCATGTATATCGCTTGAAGTCTTGCCGCATGTATATGGGTTGACAGCCCCCTAGCCCTTGAATTTGAACCTGAAACTAGCGGTGAGCATTACCGGGTACCCGGTACATTTCAGAGGACCCTATCCTGGAACCGGTTGTACCGGGTAGCCAAATCTTGGACCCGGTCCCGGAATCGGTTGTACCAGGTAGCCAAATTTCGGAATTGGTCCAGATTCTTCAACGGATATTCAAATGGGCTTGGTGACCTTCAAGGCCCAAGTCCCTAGGCAGCCTATTAGTCCTAGGTCTCTGTAACCTAGGATGGGCATAAATCCAAAGACCCTATAAAAGGGAGATGTTTGCCCTTGGAAACACACATTGAATAACATACACACATTTAACTCAAAAACAGAGATTGAAACACTCGGATATTGAGGCTGTCTGAGACAGCCGAATGATCACTCCTCTCCTAAGAGGAACATGATCCCATTTACATTCCGCACTTTTTACATTCGTACACGTTCTAACTTGATCGTCGGAGGTGGAGCTCCCACCCCCCGGAGTCTCCGTTGTTTTGCATGTACAGGCATCCGGAGTCCAGTCTTAGTGTTGTAACTCTCCCGCAAAACATCCAAAAAACCCCAAAACAAGTTCAACTCAGTTCAGCTCAATAAATCAGAACATGCCCTAATACTCTGCACTCTCTTTTTCCCATCTCCTTTCTATTTCTCATAGTGTCCAGAAGATCTTTGACTAACAACAGAGTCATCACTATCAAACATAACACTGACATATTCCTTTTTATAAGAAAACCAAATCTCATACAACTAATAAGACACTTTAAACAATTGGAAAAATGAAAAATGGATTTTAAAAATCTCATCTTTGGGTAGTCTTCCGAAATTAATCCAACCTTAACTTAATAACTCATAAATCCAACTTATTACACCCATATTTACATCTAGGTCCTTTACCCTTTTTTACCTGTTGTAGTAGGTAAGTAACCGATTTTCGTTGACTTAATGCAATTTGACCATCACCCCACATGAAACCCACCATTGCAAACTAATTAAAAACCTCACGAACTACTGCCACCCTAAATCAGGACAGCCACTAATCAACTAAAACCACACCACCCCGCCCCCCCCCCCCAAAACCCCATGCAGTGCAGCCACCCTTAAACCACGGCAACCACCAACCACTTAAACCACACCACCCACCTAAAACTATAATCACCGTAAACCATCTCAGCCACCAACCCACTAAAACCACACCACTTGCCTAAAACCTCAACCACCACAACTACACCACCCGCCTAAAACCCCAACCACCGCAACCACCCCAAACCACTGCAACCAACAACGTTAAAACCCCAACCACCATAGCCACTAGTCACCAACCCTTTACAACCACCACTCATCTAAAACTCCAAGCCCAACCACCATAGCCACTAGTCACCAACCCTTTACAACCACCACTCATCTAAAACTCCAAGCCCAACCACCGCTGACCCATCCAAAATATCGACAATGACTGTCACATTACCACCCACCTAAATTTTCACCACCATTGCCACTAACCACAACCTCTTCACCATCACCTAAATTGAAGGTGTTAGATAGAACCTTTTTTTTTTTTTTTTTTTTTTGTGAATTGATTTTAGAATTTGTTAAATATCAATCAATTATAAAAAACTAAACATCAAAGTCATCAATTGGAGAAAGCTACTTGATAATTTTCTCGCTTCTAATAATCGACTCACAACCTTTAGACCACTTTACATTTCTTAAATGGTATCAATCGCTCCTTAGCCTATACGGGAGGTTTCTTAGCAAACTCAACAAATTTCATGCAACTAATGACATATTGGTATTGCAATCCAAATTTGATTCATGCATCATATAGACAAACCAAACAGATTACATTACATCCAGTAAGATATAAATCTAAATCATTCAATTTATTCTTGATATAATTAACTTCATTCCTAAAAGTCATTAACAAGTGTACTTATTTCAAGAAAAAAAAAAGTGCTATCTAGGAGAATAAAAGTAATTTCTCTAATATAACATGAAAGTATTGCCTTAAGATGAGAACTTTTAACTTCCTATCAAATCAATCAAAGCCTAAGTCCTATAAGTGGAGTTGGCTACATGAACCAAAAGTGATTATTCTAGATAATTATACACAAAGATCTTTTAACTTCCTATCCAGCTATCTCCTACATAAGACTAGGATGTACCACAAACCACAATCATACACAAGACTACTAACTTCACCTTATAGAAATCTGCACTCAAAAGGGAATTTCTAAAAGGTATACAAAAATATCTTAATGGAGAGCGATTATGTTTCTGCATTTTTCACAAGTGATAGTGACTTGCATCAAAAAAACAAGGGATAGTGACTTGTTTACCATAGTGCCAACTGCCAAGACATATTTAAAATTCCATTTTTTTCATTCTACTATATATTTTTTTCATTTTTCTTTGATTTTTGGTACTCAAAAAATCGAATAAATTTTGCAAATTTCATATTAATTTTTTAAAATTAAAGAAAAAAACATAGAAAAATGCAATATCATAGTGCAACATCAAAGTTAACCTTAATGTCTAATATTTATAGAGCATTCAAAAATGTCTGGAATGAACTATGAAGTACTAGTGTAGAACTTGAATCAAATAAGGTTACTAGTAATTTTGCATCAACACATGAACACAACTGCATTATCAAAAATAGTTGACCATAAAATAAAATTAAAAAAGATAGATGAAAAAAAGAGAGAGAGAAAATGCGAAAATAATAATTAACATTACAAAAATAATTAACCACAAAATCTCCACCACTCTCCCCCAGCTGCAACCCAGATCCCCACCCCTCCCTGCCGGCACCACCCCACCTCCACCCGTAGCCGGAGCTCACACCGCCCCTCTCTTTTCTTCAAGATTCATGAAGCAAACGAAGTAATTAAATTGAACATCAATAATTCAAACCGAAGTAATTAAATTCAGAAAAATCAATAATCAACCTTAATTCTTCAGCAATAATATTAACAATCTCCCGCTTGCAAATCTTGTTATAATACTGATCAATCCGAATAAGAAAGAAAGCAGCAACAATCAACAAATCAGCCGATATACTTCGAAATCACTATAGAATCTAATAATTGAAGGTAATTTGAAATTTTAAATGAAACATGTTTAAACAAAATTGATTTTAAATCGTGAAGAACATTGAATTATCAAGTAGAACAACAAATACAAAGGAACCATTGCACCACAAACTAACTTGCAACAACTGAAATTTCCTCTCGTTGTAGTACCAAACTACCAATATTATCCAGAAAAATATAATATCCTCACGCAATTATATTTGTAATATTTCCGAATGAAGAGAATATCAAAATAAGGAATTAATTGCTTCTGAAATTCAAAAAGTGGGGAAGAGAAATATATTTGAGACCTAAAACTGAATTGGGGTAGAAAGAATGGAAGAGAGATGAAATGCAGAAATCCAATTGAAAATTGAAGAAAAAGAAACAGAAATAACGCTTTAGATCGTTGGGAAAGAGAAATAACACTTCGAAAGGAAGAATTTAATGTATAAATAAACCTGCAAATTGGAAGGGAATGAAGCGTCGTGCCGAATACCTGAGAAGCTGAGAAAGTGGCTTCAATGGAGAACTCTGAGAAGCGGCTTCAATGGAGAACTCTGAGTGCGCTTCAATGGAGGAGAGAGAAAGGTGGGCGGAAGAACAGAGGAGAAGAGAGAGAAAATGGAAGTGACGGCTAACCCTTAACTTTTTTATTTTAATTCTTAAATTATTAGGATCTAATTGAAACTCTATAAAAGCCCTACAAAATAAGACTCTAAAAGTCTTGTCCATTAAAAAATTAAAGGGTAAACCCTTTAGTATTAGGCCCGACCCTTTTGCCATTGGGTAGCCCTACCCAATAACCATCCCTAATCGTACCTCACCACCACCACTCGTCAGTCGTCACCTCTTTCTCTCTCCTCCCTCCGCCTTCAACATATCAAAAACCCTCAAATCATCGAAGTTCTCGGTTTCATCAATCATGTCTTTGCTCTTTAATTCGGTCGGTGGGACTAGTAATGTCATCCCCACATAACAAATTAACAAAGTGTAGATATGGGATTCTTTTATTCAACTTTTTTAATTGAATTATTGGAACTTTGATTGCAGCATCATATTTGTCATCCTTCGTCATCGTCGTCTACTTTTTCTAGTACGGAGTATTTGAAAATTGAGATCTAAAGCCCCTAAAGCTAGTAGCAGTTATTGGGCTGTTGATAGTATTATGTGTTGTTGAAATCAACAAATTGGAAATCATGCGAGTTATAGATCTGAATTTTAGTTTTCTTTTGAGGTGAGTTAAGGGTTTAGGGTTAACGAATTGTGTATGAATTCAATTTGGGGTTTCTTATTTTTTTCCTATTGAGTCAGTATGATGTTTGTTATTTATTTGAGTAATTAATTGGGTTTTGAAAGTAAGCTGATTTTTCTTTAATACTCCGGTAACAAATTTGTGGGTATTGAAATTATAATTTGATTAGTCTTTAATGCAACGGAAGCTGATAAAATGATTTATTCTTTAGCTTGTATTAAAGTTCTTTCTTGTTTGATGATTGCAATTTGTTGTTAGAAATAGAGAAAACATGTGTTAGAAAGCAAGCAAATTTACAAAGTGAGAAAATTTTACAGTGACTAAAGAAGCTGTTAAAAAGTGAGCAAATTTGCTAACTATTAAGCTGCTGCTGTACGTGCTGAAGGGTTTAATAATGTGATTATATAATGTGAAGAGGGTTGTGCTCATTTCATCCCGCTTTGCTATACGATACCGAGATGATGTGCAACAAGTGTCTCCATTAAATGAATCACATTGGAGTGATCCTTGATTATTGCAAGCGCTACCATGTATGCTAACTCTTTCCATAAATGCTAAGGTAATTGTGTTAGTCATTTCGATTTGCTTATCAGTGTTCTGTCCTTTATTTGTCTTTGTGGATGTACTTATGGTATGCATATGCAAAAGAAAATGGTCTTGATCTAGTGGCAGTGAATCCATCGTTTGTGGTTGGTCCGTTGCTCACTTCGCAGCCAACAAGCACACACTGACACTGTAATCCGTATAGCCTACCGTTAATTTTGTGCTTCCTGTGTGTAACAGGTGCTCATGGAGAGTATTTCAAACAGGTTATCGGAATTGTACACATAAATGACGTAGTTGCTGCTCACATCATGGCAATGGAGGATAGCAAAGCATCCAGAAGGTTAATTTGCTCGAGTGCAGTGGCTCAATGGTCAGATATCGTGAAGATGCTTAAGGATAAGGATCCTATGTATCCATTTGAAAGCAAGCAAGTTCACAATTGGAAGTAATCTGACAGAATTGGACAGAACTATTGTATTATTTCCTTCAAGCTTTCATAATAATTTTTATATATCATGGTTATTTTAGGCCGGACAACAAGGAAGGAGATGACAATCCACATAGCATGGATACTAGCAAGATGATGCAGCTAGGATTAGCTGGTTTTAAAAGTATCCCAGATATGTTGGATGATTGCATCAGGAGCTTCCAAGAAAAAGGATTTCTGTGATACCTATGACATTTATTTGATATGAATGAAGGGTGATGAAACACATTTGAATTATCATGATAAACTTTTCTTTTCATTTTGTTTGGCTAAGTACTTGGTTTTCCCCCCATTGAAATTGTGTCATGATCAATCTGTATTTCTTGTATTACTTGTTCTTAGGCTCATGTAGTTAAGATTCTTAAATTTGCAAATGACCTATTTGAACTTCCATCCATAGTTAGAAAAGGGTGGTACAAAACCAACATGTTTTCTAAGTAGACACAGTAATTTAGGGAATGAAAATATATCATACGACTATAAGAGTGTATATATATAGTAGTGGTCAATAATTTCTGTATAGTTGTCAATTGTGTCTTACTAATGGTCAAAATAATCATGGTAGTTATCAATATTTTCATTGTATTTATCAATTTTTTTAGTAGTAGTCAATATTTTTGAAAATTTTCTTCTGGCCTATAATAGGAGATTAGGAGTGCCCATTACTTGTTATCACCATTATCAGGGTGGTTGGGGTTAGATCGGATGTCGATTTTGAAAACTCAGCAAAACACAATTGTCATCACAGTACACTGTTTAAACCATCTGTGAGGTCGCGTTCTAATTCATAGAACTGAATATGATTCCAAAACGAACCATTTTATTCATAGCCTTTTTCAGCTCGTGTACTGTATCGTCGCGTGTTTCTGTCATTCTTACATTCCCAAAAATATTAACACTTGTGTACTCGATATGAAATCGATCAAAATGAAACGGATGTATGCCGTCCTAATACTAGAGGCATCCGGAAAGGGTTCAAGCACAATGATGACTCCTATGTTCACTCATAATGTGTATATAAATTAGGGTCATATCTTGTACAGTAGTCTTTTATCAAAATTGATTTTATATATGTCAATAATTTTTATATAGTTGTCAATTTTGTCAAAATAGTAGTAATGATATTTTGACAAAGTTATTGTGGCCCAAAATTTGTAATCTAGTAATGAAATTAAGAATCTTAGTAATGAAAATAATAATAATTTCAAATTAAATTAAATACGAGGACAACAATAATAATAATAATTTTAAATCACAAATTTCTAATAAAAATTATAGCTAACTAAATTATGTAAGAAATATTAACATATCAAATCACAAATTTCTATATAGAATAATATCATACTATAGAGATACTTATCCCACACTATACAGCCCGTGCAATAAAAGTGCGGTAATTTAATCAACCAGGGGTATTTAGGAATTTATACATATTGTATAACAGAATAATAAAAATTATTAAAAAAATCTAATATATCTAAATCTAAATTTAATTTAGAAAATTAAATAAAAATAAAACAATTATTTTGTAATGTAGTCTACTTGCTCTATACTCTAATGAAGTGTGCATTTAATATTAGGGTCAAAATAAATTGTAGCGAGAATGTGTAAATGGGAAAAAAAAAATAAGGGACATCAAGATAATACTATCAATTGAGCAAGAAGACCCGAACCTAGAAATCAAAATAATACTAGAACCTCTTGACAACTGAAATCAGAAAAGTACATGCAACCCAATTACCAAAAGAAATTAGATCACCACTTCACCATAAGGCATCTCTTAATATTTTACAAAAACAAATATTAACAAATCTAAACAGCTTATAATTTACATATATTTAATTTCCCATAAACACCAAATGCCTTCAATTTCACCTTGTCCTCGTCAAAGGGATATTGCTTGTATAGAGGAAAGACCATCACTTAAAGTTTAAGCAGTGAAGGGGTACCACCAGATTCCATTATTTGCCTCAAGACGTTCCTTAAAAACCTTAATACTATCATCCCCAAAATACCAATCATTCGAGATCATCAAATTCTTTGGTTCCATCACATTGCATATAGCTGGAAAAAAACCTTAAAAGTATCAATCATCAGACAATATATTCAATTTACTACATTTGTTTCATAATAATCGTGCCATTAGAGACATAAAAGAACAGAGAATGAGTTCGCAAGTACCAGTCTTGAAGTGGTTGAAGTATTCTTGCAATTCTTTGACCTTAAGATAAGAATGAAAAATTAGAAACAGATTCGTAGGAACTATATAACATGCTTAGCATAGGACACTGGAAGGTAAAACATCAAGAAATCCAGGCTGATGAGATTTACCTCCTCAGCAGAAAAGCCAAATTTGCCAAAAACGACCGCAAAGGCAAGATGATTTACACCAGGGATCACATATTCTGCACGCCAAGAATATGAAACAGCATGAACATCTTCATTAATTTATAAACAAATATTTAAGTTCAATAAAGGCAGACATTCAAAATTTTAAAGCAAGAGGATGCGTAAAAACAAAGATCAGAACCACTAAAAAAAAAAACGGATCAGAAACCATACCAGCTCTTGCCAATCTTAACACAATGTCATATATGAAATATGGGGGATGATCTTCAGCACCCACCCTCGAGGCTAATTCATCCTTCAATGCAGTACGGAGCCCTGAAGCATCACCCAAGAGAGAATTTGCTTTACATATTCATGAGTAACAGAATCAATCAAGAACATAATAGTAATCATCTAGCCAAAGTCAATATCAGAACAAGTACCACATCCTCTCTCATCAAAAGCCCACAAGAAATGGTCCCTGTTGATAAAACGACTCCCTTCTGCCTTACGACGAAGTTCAGCAATACTAATCAAATCAAAAACAGTCAGAGGTGGAGGAACCGTATAACGAAGTTCAACAATTTCTTTCATTTCAAATTCATTATGGAGCAATAAACTAAATGGCATAGACGATGTCGTCAATCTATCTGTGACCTGCAACAAAACAAATCAATAATAGTTAGAAATTTCTCACTCAAAAAAGAGCATGTATTTCCATGGTTGTAATATTAGCGAATTAACCATTAAATAACCACAAGTGCAGAATTAAAGGGTTGATGCCATAAAGCATATAATCTAGCGAGGTTTAGCAAACACACCATTTTTTTTTTTTTACCCTAATAAGTTTCATCAAGTCAGATTTAATAAGCCAATCCAACTCTTCATGGGCAGAAGAGTGCATGTTTAGCTCCACTAAATCCAGTATCGCATCAGCCTCTAAGCTGTACAAGGCCTTGACATCAACACACTCCACAGCTTTGGCAAGCAAAAATTCTTGACACTTCTCACTCAACTTATCCCTAAATATCTCCAACAGTAAAAAAGTATATTCATCAACCTGCTCCAAGAAAAAAAAAAACACATTGTGAACAGCTTTAAACTTCATTTCATGATAAACTAAAAGCAATTTCGGCGAAATGAACTAGAAGTGATGAGATGACTAAGCATCAAAATGGATGCCGTTATGGTGCATATTTATCTAAATAAATGTATGAAACTCCTTTTTTCAGTATGAATGAAGAGTTCTAAGAGATCTCTTAGCTTAGGATTTTGTGTGTTCACGCATTATTGAGGGAGGTTTATGAGAACGAAGAACAATATACTCCCCACCGTCCCTTAACCTTTGGTACATTTAATTTTAGCAGTCTACAAAATACCATTTTCCCAAAAACATGTTTGACCAATAATATCTTTGACTTTGTGTTACAAATAAATTCCGTTTTGAGAGTTAAAGTTAGTAAACTTTGACCGACTTTTTTGGCATATCTATAATGTATAAAATAATCCAGTAAGATTTTGTTAGATTCGTCTACATGTAAGTTTATTAATATCAACTTTTTCTAATTTTTTAAATTATACAATTTGAGTTGTTAAAGGTCAAAGATGACTCTTGAATACCGTACAAAATGATATGGAGCAAGTAAAAAGAAACGCAGCGATTAAAAGTTATAATATGGTACTACACTACAACAAATCCAATAACATTTCGCACAATAATCTCCGTATTAGGCATGAATGGGAAATTGGTCAAACTTCAAAAAAGTGTCACCACAACTATAGAAATGTAGCAAGCATTAAGGGAGGGAGGGATTAGTTACAAATAGGAAACTCGCATTCGACATTTTGTACTCCCTCTATTTCAAACTGTTTGCCACACTTTAAAATGACTTCGCTTACATTAAGAACGGGAGTAGGGCATTAGTCATATTCCTTACCATCAATCTCTGATACTGCTTCGCCTTTTTGATTGCTTCCTCAATGTCATCATCAATAGGACTCTATAATAAATTAATAACAAACAAGGTAAACATATTAATGTCAAACAGAACAGAAACAACTTGTAGACAGCAGAAAAGCAAAGAAAACATTGCTACCTTCTCAATTTCCAGGCCACGGGCAATGTAGTCCTGTGGCAAACAATAAGAAAAGAAGTTAGTAAACAAACATACATGGGCTAAGGCTGCTATGGCAAAAGGCAGACAATTAAATCTTCAAATCCTCATATAATGCATTTGATTTGCGATCTACCATTAAGTCATAGTCCACTGAAGCATTTAACAAAAGTATTTATATCTCCCTTTGTTCCTTGTTATTAACCACACATTAACCAAAAAGCTATGAAAGGATAGATAAAATCATAAAAAGATGGATAGATAAGAAGATCAAGACAATATGGAACTAAAGAGGATTAATTGTAACTTGATGCATTTAAAAAACCAAACTGTGGATACAATCCTACACCTTGTTCAGTGGCTAGACAAGCTGGCCAAACTGTTACGCCTAAATTTCAACATGTTATGCTTCCTACCCTTTGCTAAATATAATGACACAACCTAACAATTCCTCTTTACTACCCCCGATTACCTTCTTTAATTCGCTATTCATTACAAAGTCTCTCACATTTTATAGATAGAGTAACATGATCCAACACACCAAGATATGAATGAGGATACAGAGAGAGGAAACAAGAGGAGGCGGGGGGGGGGGGGGGGGTAAGTGCACGTACCTCGAAAGGCTTCATATAAGCACACGAGTTACTGTTGTAAAACTGCACATCAAATGTAATCATCAGAAAGAACAGAATTATCACACAGAAATTGCAACTAGATGAATCAATACTTGAAAGCTGTACCATTAGCATATAAGCAACATTACATTCGTTCAAAAGAGAGTACCCATCCCAATTAATATTTGTATTCGCTATCCACTTGCAAACTTCATAGAATGAATCTCCCTGTGAAATAACAAATTCATAAAGATTAATTAATTAACTAAACTTTCAAGAAAGAATGAAAGATATACAGTAGCACACTACTTTCCCATTACTTCCTAATTAGGCTGTAAAAATGATGAAGATTGCAAAGAAATTGATGCAAAAGGTGTGAGCAGAACTGAAATCTTGCGTGAAATTCAATTGTTTAATTTTGAGCATATGATTTCATACAAACAAATAGGATTGCCACAAAGAATGTTTAGCTATTGTTCAGACAGGTGAACAAAATCTAGAGTTTCTTGCATAGCAAGGGTATTGCTTAGTGAAGGGGTAAAAAAGAACACAAACACAAAGCAGGGGTCACATGTAGTATATGAATAATCACAGAGAAAATTTAAATGATTTTTCCTCCTCGTGTCCTTTGCAAATGGAAGCAAAAAAAAAAAAAAAAAAGGCTACATGGTCATTGCTAGTTTCTAATTCCAGTGTTATACAAAATGAACAAAAGATGAAAGTAGTGGCATCAATAATTACAAACCTTCTGCGCAAACCGTTCAAGTTCTTCCCAAAACTTGTTCTGTTGGTCATAAAGCATGCGAGAATGACCTAACTCGTACAGTTCCTCCTACCATGTGGCATCAATGTGGCATTAGCAATTGTTTCGTAAAGGAATGTTTGGTGGTTTGTTATAAGATAAGACGGGATAAAAGAAAAAGTGTAAATGCAAAACTAGAATGATAGATCCTAAAAATAAAGAAGTATAAGTGTATAACATGGAGAGGGGAGGACAGGAGGAAATCCATAAAACAGACAAGTGATAATTACTTTACAGAGAGTAGCTACCTTGTCAAAGAGCAAGTAAGCGAGTACGGCAACTCCATCAAGCAGACTACGGTAAAGTTGATCAGATAGTTGCTTGCACAATTCCAGAGAAGAGGAGCAAAAACGCCAGATTATTCCTTTTAATGCACTTTCCTCAGTTGCTTTCAAATGAGCTAGTTCTTCCTTGGTGAGGCTCTGCCACACCACCCATGAAGGATGTGAGTTAGTTCATAGGCTTAAGCTAGTTGGATTTATAATAATAGACTACTTTGAGAATCTATATCATTACAAATTAATTAGTTATTCACAAGGGCTAAATACCCGGCGTAGGTAAAAAATAAGATTCTCTAATGATAGAATTGAACCAAATACTAAGCTAACAGAATTGTCCCATCCTCTGCTACTCTCTCTCTCTGTTCTACCACCAATCCACCACCACCACCACCATTGGGACTGATTCAGAGAACAAACGCTTAAATGTTTGGGATTTGTTGTTGAAATAAAAAGCAAAAGTTGAAATTTTTTTAGGGTTCAAGTTGTAATTTCAAATTAAGATCCAAAAACTACCAAGCAAACAAACAATCAAGGATGTGAATTCCCCAATTCTGGAAATTTAAACAAACGAAATGAAACACTAGCATAAAGAAATTACTAACAAAGCTCCTTAAAAACCCTAACCGATTTCATTTTCAAATTAATTAATATTGAATTAAAATTCAAAACTAAAAAGAGATGGGAGATAAAACTGAGGAAGTAACAGATGAATAGAAATATAAAAGGTAAAAGTCAGTACCTGAATTTCAAGTCTGGGCTTCTTCGGCAAAGGTTCATACTTCGGCATCGGTTCATGTTCATGCAATCTGATTGTTGGAAGACTTGGAACTCAAACTTTTACTCAGAATTATAAACCCTAAGTTTTGCCCCAAATTAATATTTTGGATGAAAAATAACAATTTCAGGTGTCAAACAGCCCCATGAACATAGATGCTCTAACGCTTTATACCCTTTCTATTTCTTGTCGTCATCTGAACAAATTGATTGTAAACATGACGTTTTTTCTCTTTTTTGGTTTTTTTTTTTTTTTTTAGTAAGGAGGATAATTTTTTGGAAATTAGAGGCAATTATATAAGAAAATCTATAAATATTATTAAAAGACGCTCCTTTCCTTGGAATTCGCCATGTGTCATCACATAAGATTTGCATGAGTAATTAATGCATACTTAATAAAATAATAGAAAATTAGAAAATATGCTTAATAAAATATGTGTAATTTTGAATATAAAGGAGAATAAATAAATAAATAAAATTAAAAGGCTTTCTTTGCAACGAATTTACAAGGAATAAATTGTATCATTTTTTTTACAAGTAATAAATGATAACGAGAAAGTAATGAAGAAAATTCTATTAAAAATAGATTCAGTCATGAAATCGTTAAAAATAACATATTTGTTAATTGTTATAAACTTGTGAGGTTATTAAACAGAGATAAAATGAGGACACAACAAATTTTAGGAGCGATTCATGTAAAAAATTGACAAGAAATTATAATAGATGATGAGATAGTTGAGATGTATTAATCAAAATTTTATTTAATCAAGACTTTTATAAACAATATAGAGTAGAACATATTTTATTGTCAGTGACCAAGGGCGTCGCCCGGGCTGATATACCAGTTATAGTCCATAGATTCCTGAACATTATTGTGTGTCGTAGCGTCTTAGGTGTGTGCAATAGGCATAGGACACGTTTTTTCTTTTCTTTTTTTTTATTTTATATATTCACTGTTTTTTAACTCGGTCCTATTTCTCAGCGATTAGAAATAATAATAATAATAATAATAATAATAATAACAATAATAATAATAATAATAATAATAAGGGCTTATTATAACGGCTTGAGTTATGCTCATTATATTCATAAATATATTGTTGTTGTTGTTAAAAAGAGTGCTTGTGTGCTACTATTATAAATATTAAATATATTTTTATATTTTGTGGCAAGGTACTAAATATTTATAATATTGATTAGATGATTAAACACAGAAATTATTTATTTGATTGCACAAATGATTATGTGCTTGTCTCTATGGTGATAATGCTGGGGTTTTATAATTTTATAGTAACGAGAATTGATTAAAAGGTAACAAAATACGGTTACCTGGTTGTTTGACTTATTAATGTCAAAAGTATAAAACAAATTCATCTCAAGTATGTGACATGGTGATTATCCCGCCCCAATAGTTACTTACGCTACGCACATAGAGCTTACCGCATCCCCCTCGATCCTGGGTTCGAAACCCGCTGCACGCTTAAATAACTTTATGAGGAATGCTAGAATCACTCAGTCTTACTTTTATTTTCATTCTCTATTTGACATGTGACATAGAAGTTATATTTAAAAATAGTATGGTCGGATTCAGAATTGTCTTATTTTTCCGATGTCATATGTCAAATAGAGAATGAGAAGAGTGTTTTGGGAGTGATATGAACCACATTCAATGCAAACATCATACACCTACGTAACACCTAGAATTATTGAATTTCTGCTTTCTATTCGTATAGAATCATACACCTACTTAACACCTTTACCAACCTTTATACTTGGTATAATTTCTTTAGCACAAAACAAACCTGTTACATTCATCCTCTTGTGAAATCCAAATAACAAGGTCATAAAAAAGAAAAAAAATCCAAAGAACACAACAGGTTGGAGAGGAGTCAAGGCCATATGAACTACATCAGAGGAAACTCATTCCATTTTCTTCTTAGGTGAGTAAAGAACACAAGTTTGCTCTGCACAGTCCTGCAGAGCTAAAAACTCCATCAGCATTCGACATATTACCAAAACAAAGATCAACTGTCAACAAACTGATCTGAGAAGTTCCTCTGCTAGCCCAAACTACGTTCTAAGTTTCTATTACAGAATACACAATGAAACTACATTAAGATTTCTATCTCCATACATGTTCCTTTGGTATGCTCTTTTGACACAATTCTTTTATGTGCCTTAGAAAGTGCATAATAGGCAGATTTAGTTTTGGAGGTGTAGGAACATAGAAGTCTGTTTAGCTGCAATGTAGCAAAAAGGATCCAAAGCATCTAAATGTGTACACGTTAGACACTCAGACCCCTATATGCACCACTCTAGGTAACTAACAACACAACCCCTAGAGAGTTCCCGCAAACAACTTCCTCCAATGGCCATAACATACCTTCAACTTTGCAAAACCTAATTGCTTGGATTACTCATTGCTTAAAGCAGTCATCCAATGATTCCAAGCATTACTCATTGCGTGTAGAAAAACGATTACCAGCATTTATTAGCTTGGATGAAACCCGATCTCCAAGATCAACAAAATCATTCAAATTTCACAAACTCAGCCTCTCCAAGACGTACTTTTGGTTTCCAAAGATTCTATGAGTAAAACCTAATGGCAGACCGAGTTGCAAACTCATGTTCCATAGAAGTCAAGTAGTCAACAACATAATTTGATAATATACCCATCAAAACTTCTTTAAAAAAGCATATTAATAGATATTCCCTATAATTTTGCATCCCTTGGTTATGAAGACCCATTAGATACATTGATAGGCAACACAGAAAAATGAAGACAAAAAAAGAGCAGTAGCATAGTGCAAACACAAATCTCATTGCTCAAAAGGCTTGGAAATAGGAATCTATTAATAAGACAGCGATGTAGAGTGTAGGCACTCATACAACATATGCAGCCAAATAAATAAATGAATAAAAAAAAGGTGGAGACAAAGTAATAACGGAATTACCTGCTAGCAAGGTCAACACCAGAAAGGCGCTTCACAGTGCTCAGACTTTCAATGCACATAAGAATAAGAGTGTAAGCATGACTACACCAATCCTTATTTGATATTTAAGTAAGCACTTATAAGTATATGTATTTTACTAATAAGACAGGTATATCAGAAAGAAATTCCTACAGATGAAAAATTTATCATTCATCAAAAAAAGGAGAAAAAAACCTATAAGAAAAGCGCTTCTCTTTTTGTAATTCAATAAAGTAGTACATCTTCCTTTTCAAGTCCTCACTTCCCAACCTCAAGGAAGAAGGTGACAATGAAAGGCCAATATTAAGAAATAGAGAACAACATTGTACTGAAATCAAAACACTCACACCCAAGAACAAAATTATCCAATGTCGAGAAGACAAATCTAACAGCTTACCATTGTGCAAAAAAAGAACATGTTACCTGGTACTGGATGCCTTAAGAGATTGAGAAAGGGTGTACAAAAGTTGTGTCCAACATCCCTCCGCATCCTAAGATTTCATCAATTGTAGCACATCAGTGAAAGCAAACTTTAAATAGTAGGAAAATGCCATGATATAGTTGGACAGCTAAGATTTAACCTGTTGCATGAAAGAACCATTATGCAGCTGGTCAAACTGAGGGGACTTTTTACGTAATACCTGAAACCATCAGATGAAAAAATGAGTACTGCCATGTCACAAGCACATAGCATAACACACAAGGTAACTTATCTTTATCTCGCTCATACGCTATAAATACCATATAAAACCATGATACTTCATTACCCTACTATTTTCTTTTTTACCTTAGCCTATTGTCAGATAAATTCACATAAACAACAACATTTGCTACCAATTGGGGTTGTTGAAATAGAATAAAACACATCAGATTCCTTTAAATGGAAAGATATCAAATTAAAACTTTAATTACCCAAACACTTAATAATCACAAATAACAGAAGACACCAGCAATAACATATTTTTTGACGGGAACTACGTATTAGCATCCAATATAGCCAGTAGTGTTAGAGAAATATCCAGATTATCAATCTCAACCATTTCATGAAACCATAAAGGATCGAACATAATATATGTAGAATATTATAATGCTACAAAGTGATATGGGCACACCATCCAAAATTGCATAGGTGCCACATGATTGGCATTTTTATCAAGCTCACTAAACAAATCTTTGGTTGCTACTGTCAAAAGATGAGAAGTCTGATCTAACTCATTGTTCCTTCCAGACTGTGAATACCTGCTCAACAATAAAAGGAAGATGTCACAGTGATGAAAAGAAGATATAAATGCAATGATATTATAAATCATGCAGCTCTGATAAAAGTGCAAAATCATAAAACAAAAGGAAAACATACTCCAATAAAGCAGACTTCAGCTCAGGAACTGAATGTAAGCATTGTATAGTGGAGTTCATGTAGCATGTATTTCATAAATTAAATATTCCAGCAGAATGACCCTGCAAACATAAGAACATTACATCACATAGTCAGATATATTAGTATTAATAAAGGTATCTATGTCCTTATGTTATCAATTATAGCTAAAATAAAAAAGATGTATAATGCAATCTTTGCTCATTGTTAAAGGGTGTTAATGTGACAAACTCATTTGGAGGAGAAATGAAAGTTCTCAAATCTCAAGGTACAAGGATGAAAATAAGCCATCAAAATACTTATAAAGCACAGGATAGGCTGTCCTCATACAGATTGCCTAAGCATATGGACATCATTCACACTTAAAACCTCAGGCAAGGTATGGTCACACTGTCACAAATCAAGAGCAAAAAAGACTAATATTTCTTACCCAAAGGTTACACCCATCCACATCCACGCCAACCAAATAAAAAAGAATGTCAGGCTGATAAGGGGAAGACGGGAACAAAGCTTTAACCAAACAATCTCCATATTCATCAGATGAATCCATTTCATGCCAATGAAATTTCCCAAAGCTCTTTTTACAGTATTTGATGTGTGATATGAACCCAAACAAATAACCAACACAGAACCGAGAAAAAACAGTAATAATGGAAGATTATAGAAGAAAAGACAAGGATATGAATGTATTAAAGAGAGGAAGTCACTCGGTAATACAAGCTATGCCCCAATTCAAGAAGGGGAAATGTCCAATTGTGCAAGCACAAGATACTTTTCTGAATGAAATCTACTGCCACAGTGTACTCCCTATTTGTTGAGAAAACTCTTAGATTCTCTAACAGACTAACACACGCAGCAAGCAAGTAACAAATGCAAAATAACAAACTCTGATTAATAACAAACTCTGGTTAAAAGACTTATTTGCTCTTTTGTAGCTTCCTCCTCGATTAAGTGAATAATATTGGCGGATTGCCACCTTGATTCATAGCAATGTGTCCGTGGACAGGAGCCAGGTCAAGTAAATAAGCCAGCAACTCATCATCTGAAGCACTTCCAATATGCAAAAATGAAACAAAACGGTCAATTTAGTTTAAGCACAAAACTCGACAGGAAAAGGTGTCAAGATACTCAGAAGTTCATATGTCAATGTCATGGTGATCTTGTTGCCAGCAAACTCAACTGGTCAAGCATCATCTCAGCATATCGCATCGAACCATTGGACTTGGAAGCAATGAACACCAAATCAACCTGATTAAACAAAAAAGTAGCCTGATAAAATAAAGAAATCGTACCTCAAAAAAGAAAATAAAAAACAACCCAAAAAAAAAAAAAAAAAAACCCAGATCAAAAGGTTACCAAGCAATTGTAGGTAACAAATTTCCAACCACCCCATGAAAAAATAGATGCTGCAAAATAGATTAAAACAGATTAATACTCCATCAATTGAGCAACGAAAGCATAAAAAAATGAAAAGATCAAACAAATTACTATGAAAAACAGGTTTAATAAGATAAGAGACATCCAATCACAGTTGTAATCAAATTTGATGAGTAGCCATAGCATGGGGACATCCAATTAGGCTGATTTAAGGGAAAATAAGGTAAACTTTAGGCTGATCTAAGCAACAAAATGTAAGGTAATTCAAAAAATTAGCATGATTTAAAAAAGAAACACAAACAACTAGCACCTATCTAGCATTCTCCTGTATGTTTTCCAACTTTATTAATTCTGAATAGATCGACCAACTTGTTGCTATTCTTCTTCCTCATCATTATATTTATAGTAAAAGAAAGGCATGTCTTCTTCCACAATTCTCAGAAAATCAAATTTCCTACACCTACAACCAACCAAGCAACACTTCACTTCCACAATTCCCAAGAAGCCTAATTTCCCATGGAAATAACTTCGGCTCCCAAGCAAACAACATCTTTGTTTTCCTACATCATAGGTAAATACTTGGTCAGTTGGTCTAAACCCCAAACAAATAAATATAATCTATAAATTTATTACCCAATAGTGTGGGGTTTCCATAGTGGATGCAATGAAAGTCTTAATGCTGCCAAAACTGTGGAGTTAATAGTTTGCAAATGGGGTCATGTAATGAGCATATTTCTGCACAAAATTAATAATGAAAAATCAAGTTTTTAGGGACATATTTCCGCACAAGTTTAATAGCTTGCATTTCACCTCAAATGTTTCAAAGGCCAAAAGTAAAGATAGGTGTAGCAATACCTTACATGTATTTGCATGAACTAGGTCTCTTCAAGGGGATGATAAGTTACAATTACCAAAGACATGAAATTGTACCTTACATGCGTATGTTCTATGCTATGTCTATCTATAGCAGATATAAAAAACAAATAAAATGAAATCACCTCCTGCCAAAGAATGGTTTCATTAATTCCCTTTCCACCATGCTATCCTCAACACATCTCAACTACTGATAGTCCGTTGAAAAGCCATACTGGTCATCTCTTCATAAAATGTACAACACATGATGAAATCTTCATGAAGGTCAGCCTGCCCATAAGCAATGTCCAAGCATTCAAATTTCAGTTTAAGAATAGAATTTCAAAATCATCCCGTGGCACACATTGATCTTCAGTGCACCTATTGCTTTTCTCTTATCATCTAAACTGTAATACTCGCTCAGGTCCCCCACATGACAGTCCTTTCCTAATGACAACTTTGCCTATTTTCCTATCAACACTTTAGGACCTGTATACAATGAAATGCAGAGACTATTATTTCAATGTATCCTCATGAAGCATACTAATCTAATAGTCAGTTGCGCACACAGAGGGCACATATTGATCTCCCTACAGTTCTATTTGGTCGAGTTCAGAACTCCAATAAACCCCAGTCACTTACTAAACCCAACCAATAGTTTAGACCTCTCAGGATCCAAGACCAATGGTTTTGTTTTTTTTTAGGTAAGCAGTTTTTACAATTGCAACCCCGTGCCTTCCTCGGATGTCAAAAGTTAATAGCAAACATAAGGAGCAACACTTCGGTAGGATAGGAGCATGGTTAGATATGTCAATTGGAAACTAAAGTTACATGTCTACAGATACCATCAAAAGGGTTACGACACATAAGTGGACCTGCATACCAAAAAAAACTACACTCCACATCAAGTCCAAAACTGACAACCACTTAAGTTAGTTCCAGAAACAGAGACCGGACATCCCTTATAAGCATTCTTAAACCATAAAAAATGATCAAATACCCCAGATTATCACCATGTTCATTTTCCTAGTGCACAAAAGAGCATAGTTACACTGATACAAAACCATTTAAGACATGCCACTGCCGCCTATGAAACCATTCCCAATGTGCAATCGATTGATTCTTTATAATTTAAAGCTTGGCAAATGACAACTATTAAACTAAATGGCTTAGCAACTCTGATCCTGCAATGGCAATGGAAGAGAGCCAACCAACTACAATACATTCTGTCCAACGAGGAATTGACTATCATGAATCAGCAAAATTTAATTCCTAAGAAAGTTGACAATTGTGAACAGTGAACCAGTCAAATGAAGCAACCTTACCATTTGTGTGTAAGTATTCCGCACCTAAAGAACATTTTCTACCTTCTTCACTTGCACTCCTTTTGAAAGTTACTATCTTGCAAATCTGCAATCACAGAACTATAATTTCTTAGTGAGTTTGAAGCAATGTTAATTATAGGTATAAATCATGTAAACTATTTTGCATACCATGTCATCGAACTCAGGCCTGGCTATAAGTTATTTCTGGTAAAACCACAACCATCAATAACCAATTGCTCCACTGGATTTATAAATGCTACATGACATGGTTTGAACACTTCCTTACCACCATTGGTTCATCTTCCATTTATTCATCATCTCCATAGGAACTCCGCCTTTTCCTATTTATTTCATAGCCAGCATCATTACTAACAGTATTGGTATCTTCTTCGCCATCGTTACAAGGTGGGTGAATGCTGCATATTGAGAACTTTTGAGCCACATAACCAGTCTTCATTGAAATTTTCCCATCAAATTTTCCCAATTGAGCATCATCCATATAAGAGAATGTAATAATTCAGTTATATAATACTAGTCTTATTAACTAATTTATGCAAAATTTAAGCCTCATTGATGTTCAAAAGCATGAATTCAACTTCACATATAGACTGAATTGCGCAATAAGTAAGCTCGTTCATTGTCTGAATGAAAGGCAAAATAATCCAACCAAAATTAATTAAGTTCTAATACTACTGACCACAACTAACTCCTAAGGTTTGACAATTATATATTACTCCCAAACACACATCAAGTCCATTACAAAAAGAATTAGAATAGATGAAAATTGACAAATTCTTTCCTAATCTAGTTTGCTAAACCGCCTTTGTTGTTCTCCCTTGGTCCCTTTCATTTATCTTCTTCATTGAGCATCCCTAATGATTAAACATTGCTTTTAGCATCAAACTGAATCTGATTTTGCAATTTTGCAAAAGCAATCATATGTATAGGAAAAACATATTGATACATATGTTGCACTTCTTCAAGTGGACATTGTACCTATATTATAGAGGAAAAAAAAATATATTCTATCGTTACAAATTTATAATTATATAGACTTAATATTGATAGCAATAATTAAATGAAAAGTAAAAATTCACTTACATTTGTGAGTTGAAAGGCGTGTCGATACATGTCTCGTAAACGAGTCAATCCTTGCTCTAATCTCAACTTCTCTAATCTCAACTGAGGAGTTGCTCCAATTATATGAGGAGTTGCTCCCATTAAATTTGAACGCCGCCAACTAGGATATGTAGTCCGAAGTCCTCGAAAAAATTTGTCACATTTTTCCAAAAAGTCATCGCCAGCCTTCATTTGTGCATGTATCAGGATTGGATTTTTTGAATTACTAATAATATTACGAAAATTTCTAGTTGTCGACCTTGACATCTTGTAATTTTTAGCATCCGCAAACGCATCTTCAGCATCAGGATAGATTAAACATCGACCACTCTTCAAAGCATCATACAACTCAATGATATACTCGATTCTCATTCTATCATTCCAAAAAATCATATTTCTACCTAACATTTTAAATTTAGATGAATCACTAGGTTAGGAAAACACATTACAAATAAAATAAAAAATAAGGGAAGTGGTGGCAGATAGAACCCCTAGTCTTTGCTAAGATCATTATAAACTAAACCATTAAGTCACGTTTGATATATACACATAAATATACTGCATTATAAATTAATTATACTTATTTGCGGCCCCAACCAGAATTGGACTCTGTGCAGCCACACAGGCTGCACCGGATAAGAGTCGGCTCTGTACTAGGTAAGGGAGAGATTATTATAATTAGTGTAGTTGTATGTAGTATATTGTGTTTTTTTTGTTTAACAATTATAGCTTTGTTTAATTATAAAATTGTTTTAATTATGAAATTGTTTTAATTCATACGGTTTTTGAGCAACCGGAACCGTGATAATGAGTTCATTATAAGATAATGATCTCCAACAAATTTAGCATTTTTTATTAGTGAATTCAAATCAACATAAAAACAAATTATATTAAAATTATTCATAAATTAACAAATTACGTAAAACTATATAAACACACACACACATATATATAGATCCGGTGAGAACCACCCTTTTTGTGAGAATCCACACCTTATGTGAGGACAAATCTTAGCTGCTAGATTAGATGAAATCCAACAGCTGAAATTATAACTTTAAGCCTACCTAACTAACAAATTTTGAAATCCACACCTTATATTGCCCTATGCTTTTGAAAAATTTGGACAACTCACTTGCTTCAAACATCCAATCATGATGTGCTTCTAAAAAAACAAATTAAAAATGAATGAAAAAATAAATCAATCTTATATTATATTATTGAATCTAAAAGAAAGAAATATGTACTAATATGTACCTCATTTTTCATAATTAGTGAAAACAAATTTATTGTCCGCATCAATGTACATGTGCTAAGAATCTAGTATTGGCCTAAAAGCTTTGTCCTTGAATGTTACAACATTCTTGACAATACTTAACATAAGTTTTTTAAAACTCACACTAGCATACAAACACGCATTGAAGGTAATGAAGGATTTGTTCGCCAAATTGAAGTCTGTGCGTGAACCTCTTCAGTGTTGGAAAAACCAATTCGCATCAAATTTTGAGATTGGTTTGCCATCAACTACCTTAACCATTACTATATTCAGGTTGTTAGAACCCTCAAAAGTAAATGGAAAAAGAATAGTAGGAAATCACTCATTGCTCTCCATTTCTCTCAAACAATGATGGAGAGACTCCATTGATTGCATTTCAGTTAATCTTATGTGCTTGTATTGCAGTACATTATCACCACAACTAATGGAAATTCTATCTTCGGCGACTTGTGCTCTGTAATCATCGGGAAAATCCATAACCTAAATAATGTATAAAACTTTATTACTATTTCCAATCAATACATTTCAAATCAAGAAAAAAACAGTGATAAATTAATAAAACTAATGAAAGATGATAAAGGAGAATTGATGTGAACGTACAAATTCAAACTAAAAACAAGCTGGTAATACAGAATTAATACATAAGACAAAAGATAAAATCGCAAAATTTCAGTAGATATATCATATCCATGATTTCAAGAACACAAATGAAAAAGGAAAGTATTACTATTGCAGAAAAAATCCGACAAACCAATTCAACATCAATTGCTGAAACCATAAAAAATTCTCGAGTTAGACAATAAAGTTTGAATACATAAGGGAAAATTTATATTAATATTTTTGAAGTGATATCTTACAATGGAGTAGAAATTATAATGAAGTTACATAAAAAAAAAAAAAAAAAAAAAAAAAAAAAAAAAAAGATAATGTATTTGTGAAAATAATATAATGGCTACTC